TTAAGAAAAGACCTGATAAACGTGGAAGATGCTTCAAATAACTCCACGTTGGGCACCTTCATGCTCTCCTTGGACATTCTCCATCTGTGATTATGTTTGACGCTCCAAATCTTGATAATTCAGTTATGTCTTGTTCACATTAGTTTCCTTTTTACTTTTTATATTTACTCTCTCCGACATCAAACATATCAGCGGTAATTTGGCGGAAAGCCTTTATCTGCTCAGACATGCTCTCTTCCCATGGCTGACCCAGAACATCGTCTGACACGTCTTCCCCACAGGGAGCTTGTGGACGTGGGGGCCTGGCGTGGCCTGTCAGCACAACAAGCCCCACGAGGCGGCGGCGGCCCCGTCGGGACCCCCTTGTCTCTTCCCCCCTGCTTCATTACCGTCTTCTCCCCTTCTTTTCTCCCTTTCATCTGCAGCCTATCGCTGGCTCCGAGCCGCTCTCATCCGGGAACACGACGAACGAGGGGCGGGAGGCCGCAGACGGAGCGGATATGGGAAAAAGCAGAGTAAACATTTCAAAGGCCGGGGATTTTCATGTTAGCTTTAAAGGCCCTCTTTAATATTAAAACAGGCTGCAAATTAGATAGAGGCAAATGCGCGCTGTTTGCACGACAGCATGATAAGGGTTTTTGTCTCATCGATGGATCAAAGCTGAAAGAGTGAAAATAATTAAAGCACACAAGAAGAAAATTTGTCTTGAGGGATAAATTGATTGATCAGTGGAGACTCTGATTGGCACTATTTATTCCTTATGGTGTGGATAAAACGTTGTCTTTGATCTGCTGCAGCCTGCTTGTCGTACTTTCATAGCTTCTTGCCAGGCACCTCACATCAAGCCCATGCAGCTCTGTGGAAAAGTGACTAGATAAAGTTCTTGAATTGGTCTTCAAAGGGCAGGCCAATAAAGACGCTCAGACAAGTCTCTCCGCTTTATCTTGATTGTCAGAGTAAATGAGAGGGAGACCCATTCCACTTTGTGATCACTCATTTTCACTCTAATTTTGTTTATGGGACGGGGATAAACAAATTAAAGCTGATGGGCGGGATAAGACATACACACACTGACACATATGCAATGTTTGCACTTGCTTACCATGTATTGTCGTCATTAGGGACCTCGCAGTGGATGGAGAGTTGCACTTTTTGACAACTTGTGATTAAGTTTTTCTTTTGATTATTTAAACAAAAAATAGTTAGTAGTTGTGGGTGTAGAAGGAATTTGATATTTTCTTTCTAACTTCTGTACAAATTCAAGTCTGACCTGTGTGTTGGGGCATTTGTATACGGACCTTTAAAATCTTGCTAGAGATTCTCGATTGGATTTTTGTCTGGACTTTGACTAGGCCAGTTTACATGGCTGAGCTATTTTGTTGGGATGTTCGGGGTTGTTTTTTTATGCTCTCTATTTAACTCCATCCATCTTCATATCAACTTATTATTATACTATTTCAATTTTCCTGTTTTTCCCCTGCAAAAAAAAAAAAAAAACTTCTGACAGCATGATGCTTCCAGCATTATGTTTTTATTGTGAAGTCATTTTGTTCAGTGTGACTTACAATGCTGGTTTTCTTCTACTCGTGACATTTTGTAAAGTGGTAGCAAGACATTTTATGGAAGCAAGACTTTGCATTAAAGATGGTTTTTGTTCACTAATTTTCCTCTGAGGAGCCCAGGAGGCCATCAGAGAACTGACATGCTAGTAAATACCATTTACACGGTCCTGATCTTTGGGCAGACTTATGAATTATGGGATTTACCACAGGTTTACAAAGGCCAATTTCTATATTCAGGTATTTTCTGCTTTAAATGTGCTTAATTTGCATATTACAACCTCTCAGCATATGCTGTTTCTCTTTAGAAATTGTGCTTCATTAACATTTAAAATAATTACTTACTCAGAAAACATCTCATTCCTGCAAAAAAAAGCACTTATTTTATTGTATTTGTTTTTGTTTAAGGTAAAGCAATTTTGGTTCAACATATTTAATCTGATTTTTTATGTATACAAATCTTATTTAATTTTCCACCTGGAATTAATAATAATAAATACCTCTTTTTTTGTGAAATTGTCAGAACACATTTTACAGATTTATTTTAGATACATATAATTAGCAATAAAACAAGTGAATGTCTCCTGGTTCACCGACCAAGTCAAGCAAATCTGCATAAATCAGCGACAAGGCAGTTCAAAGTACTTTACACCACAAAAGCACAATACAGTCACCAATTAGGAAACAAGCAATAGACTTTACATTTTTGTCATCAAGAAGATTCATCATGAATTACATTTGACACTGACTCAGATGTTTTATTTGATTGCTCTCATGCTCGCAGAAGCCAGCTTTAAAGAAATGGGCTCTCCTCTGATTTCTTTGATCACCTAAAAGCTCGTTCCTTCACTAATTACGCAGATTTTAGTGAAATCCTCCGTCTGCACATCCTTGCCGTTTCATTGTGCATTTTCTCTCACGTGCAGCTACGCTCTCCGCCTGGAAGCCGCCTTATCGCCAGACTCTCATGCACCCCCCAGACTCCACTAATCAAGACAAACTCCAGCCCTCATCTCCTCCAAAAACCCACCCTATCATATCCTCCTCTCATTCCTCTCCCTTCCCAATCTCTGCCTCTGACCCAGAACTCTTTCCCTCCCCTCCTGGCTGCTGGGCCGCACAGGGTCCCACTGTAATTGGTTTAGACATAATTTACTGCCCACTTGGTAATGTAGCATTTCAGCATCTGATAAAAATCATATCAAGTCGCAGCGCTGGCCGCCACGGCTTGAAAGGGTTTCATTGTAATCATTTAGATACCAGAAGAGGTTCCTGCTCTCTTTCACTCAGCTTCGCTCGGTTACTCCCTCCCCCCACGCCCCCCATCAGCCTCTGTACTGCTGTTCTCTCCACCAGGACTTAAATTCACTTTTATGTATATTTCACTCACATGTAAAACTCCTTGATGACATTTCCCTATTTATTTCTTCACTTTCTTTTCTTTTTTTTTTTTTACTGCAAACCATTTTTCAGGGTCAGGACAAAACGTTGAAACGATAATTGTGGCTGCTGTTACTCGCTTGACTTCTCAGGGTAATACTATTCTTGTTTCCCTTTATTCTTTAGAGACGGGGCAGGAGGAAGAAATGAAACTTGCCTCTTGAAGGAGGAAATGCCTAAAAAAAAAACAAAAACAAAAAAAAAACAAGTGGGGAAATTATGAAAGTTTTTATAACTGCTGCAGTGTTTTGCCAAAAAAAAAAAGAAATAAAAAATCAAAACACTTCAAAGTGTTCTCATTTTATGATGTTGCAACGTCAAACTTCAATGTATTGTATTGGGATTTTATGCAATAAACGTACAAAAAGTATAAAATTGTGAAGTACGAGGTAAAATATACATTATCTACAATTTTTTTTACAAATAGAAATCGAGAAAAATGTCTACCAAACAGGGTATGTAATTCAATCACTGTATGAAAATACTGGTTTGTTAGAAAACATTAAGGACCAATCAGTATAATGAAGATAAAGGAACACGGTAGACAGGTCCGGGGGAAAGTTGTGGAGAAGTTTCATGCAGGTTTATACCAAAGCCTTGAAAATCTCAAGCAGCACTGTTCAATCCGTGACCCAAAAATAGAAAAAGTATGGCAACAGCAAACTCACGAAGTCATGCCCTTACCTAAACTGACAGGCAAGTGGATTATGAATCAGAGGAGCCACAAAGAAGGCCGTAGTAACTCTGGGGCAGTGGCAGAGATCCAAAGGTCAGGCGGGGCAATTTTTGGACAAGAATAACTTTTCCACTGATACACAGTCAATGGAGCTAAACTCGACTCTACATGGTGCAGGATTTTTCATTATAACTGCATAGCGGCTCTGTGTGGGTGGGGTCATCCACGGAGGGCGGCCGCAGAGTCTGGACAAACAATTGACTTAAACACAACAAGCACAAAAACAAAAGCACCTCATTGTTAGACAAAGCTGTGGTTTTCAATCAAAAGGCGAAGTCTTTCTCGTGTGACCACCAGGGACCGGAAGTCTTCTGACATCGTGTTTTGAGTGGCATCCCCAATGAAGTAGGTTTTAAAAAAGTAGTCAGGACTGAAACAGACATAAAAAGTATCAAAATGAACGAGAAGTTATCTGTTGGAATTAACAAAACTGTAGAAGAAACAGTCCTGTACACGATTTTGTTAAATTCATAGTAGCCCAGACTCCTCCAGTTAAAACGTTAACAGGATATTGAGATAATTAGCAGGATGCATAAGGATATGAACTTTGGGTTCAATTGCATGTGAAAGGACTTTTCTTCCAGGCTTATGAGAGCGGAAAGGAGACTTATGAACCAGCTAATCCAATGATAACACTGATTGCCTCGTAGCTTGCAGATTTTCAAACTATGTATATACATATATATTTAAGCCAATAGCATGATTTAGAAGACTGATATTTAGACACTCCACTGTGAACCGGTGATGTAGTCTTATCAGTAAATTAAAATTTATAGAACACGTAGAGATTTTTCTGCTGTGTTTTACCCAATAAGCCTGTTATAAAAGCTAATTTCAAAATAACCTAATACTGTTTTCCTTTTTAGAAGGAGTGATTAGGATCAAAATTTCCACCCACCCACCGAGTTGCAAGTGGGTGGAAAACAAATCCTCATCGCCTGGCGGTGGTATTTGAGATGGAAATTTAGTGGAGCCGATTCCTATTTCCAGGTCCTGCAGTGGATCCCTATAAGTGCACAATTTGCCATGTGTTTTATGAGCGGCACTAAATCTGGGTTTTATCAGTGTTAGGGAAAATTCCAGGGGCTCTCCTTGGGTGTCGTTAACATTCGGAGCGACAGCCACGAAGGTCCGTCCACTTGCTCCAGAGCTCATCTGCCGCCTGCCTGAACACAGGAAGGAAGAAACGGAGAACAAAAGATAAGTATCTAAACTCTAAGCAGGGTCTTTGTGCAGAGAACATCTTAGATTAAGTAGGAAGGTGACCAGGTAGCAATCGCAGCCTCAGCACTACCTGCTTGAAAGGAGGTTCTTTACTATAAAATCAGCTGAGTTGAAGTAATTATTTGTTTTGATAAACATTTTTAAACCTATTTTCATGAAGTTTCATCAGATGCTTTTTCTTATCCTTTTGGAAATAATCTCTGCTAGTAGCTAATTTCTCACACGTGCAGCGTATAGTTAACATTTGTTGTCAAATGTTAACTATAACCTGATTTAATCTGTTTCAGTGTCAACATTTAGTCTTTTGAGTTTCAAACAAAAATTCTTGTGAATCAGATTAGCATGAAATGAAGTTCAGCTGTCCTGGTAGGACCTTATCAAACTGTGTCACATTTGCAAAACATCTTGTTCCACCAGGGTGTCAGTCAAGGGAAGGCTGAAGAGGGAAGGAACGAAGAAGACATTCATCAATCATCGGAGAAAACAGAGGTGTTACAAGAACTGCGCACTTCCCCAAAAGTTTGGGAAAGAAGAGGTGGGAGCTGGTCAGGAAGAGCCAAGAGCGACACTGTCCTACATGGACTGGTCTTGTTCTAAGCAGGACAAGAACCTCCTCTATTTCACCATATTTCCTAGACCAGCAAGTAGGGTTGCGAGACAGAAGCCTTTTCATTCGAAGAGAGCATCCAGGACTAGCAAAAATGTTCCACAACAGTGAAAAACAATGTTGTAGGAACCAAGACTTGAAGCTCATGGCCACAATTTGAAAAGTTTGGCATCACCAAAAGAACAACATGACCACTGTTCAAATTGAACAGAATTATACAGTGAAACTACTTTTCTCCAGATGAATTTGAGGGTGTTTTTTTTTTTTTTTTTCTATGAAGTTAGAGCAAATCTAGAACATGCTGTGCGCTTTCTTCTGATGACAGGAAAATGTAATTTTTGGAAAGACTTTGCAAGAGTGCAGAGCTAAATCTGACAGAAAGTCAAGAGGATGGAGGACAAGAGGAGTTCTGATGATCTGATAGATTTAGAGAATGAGGCAAAGTAGACAAATATTTCCAAGTCAAGATGTAGGATGATGATGTACTGATTTTGGGAATCAGGTCTGCGAGAAGTCAGGAAGACATGCCTTTTTTGTGTGTCTTTTATTACAGAGGTCCAACACGGGACATGACATCGCCAAACTGTTTCACCAGCGAGTTCATAGGAAAGAATCACTTCCTGTTCAACTCACCGCACTCAGTCAGTCCCAGCACTTCTCTCTCTGCTCAGTTTACAGACATCAAACATCAAGCAACCCCCCTAAAAAAAGTCTAGTATTTTCTTTAGAATAATTTTTATTTTGTCCATTTTAAAACATAAACTAGCAATATAATGAGTCACTAGAGGGTTCATGGAAGCTAATTATATTACAAAACTGTAAAATTTGATGTGAAAATAAGAAGTTTTGCTTTGCACAATAGTAAATGTTTCAGAAATTTAGATTTTTTTTAAACAGGAATGTAAAATAAAACACCCCAGAGAAATGAAAAAAAGTCTGGTTATTTTGAAAGTCTGTAAAAGTTCTTCTTTTTGAAGAACCAATGAACAGGTTGACGATGATTGTGCTGTTTTCTCAGCGTCCTCAGGGAAGCAAGTCAGAAGAAGACGACTGACCTTGCTTGATAAATGCAAAGCCAAAGTTTAGTTCTATCCTAATTATCTTTTAATGCATCCCTATTTCCTTTGGTTTTGCTTTTTTTTCCTGCGCGATTCTGCTCGACCCGAGGGGCACAAACAGGTGGGGAATATTAGACCATCATACGAGACTCTAATGGGATAGCTTTGCCTTCACTCGACGGCCTAAACAAAGTGCCTTTACTGGAAGAATAACCACAAACCACCAACCAGTCCATGATCCAACCATTTAGGTTGTTTGGATGCATCGGTGTCCACCGGGCTCCACGGGCACCAGCCTGAATCGGCTAAATCAGGCGTCAGTTGAGGTTAACCTTCTCATCTGTTTGGTGTGCCTGTGAGCCGTCAAAATGCTGAAACTCTCCACCACCGCAGGGCCGCCATCCAGGGGTGAGCCATTAGTACTCATTGTGAAAAGTGAGTTTTTAAGTGCTCGCTAAATCAAAGGCAGGCTTATATTTTCTGAGGAGGAAGGACTTGGGAGTAAATAGGTGGTTTTCCTGCTCATTCCAAAGTAAATAAGATAGAAAACTGCTTCCATCTACTTCGGAGCTCAGCCGTCTGGGTTCTATTTACACCGCCAGCTATTAGCCATCTCGCACCATCACATTTATGACCGTGTGCACAGATGAAAGGTATTTGTACGCATGGAGAAAAACCTTGAGAGAGGCCAAGTCTTGTTTAGCTGAAATAATAGAAAAGAGATTATCGATGCATGTGGTTGTCTGCTTAAATGCCCAACCTCTGACTTGATAGTTTTAACAACTTAATAGCTTGTACAAAAGGGCAAAAGTGAGGCCCATTATGCTGGGAAAAATGCAATCTGTTCACAGGACTGGAAACAATTTCACAAGCCAAGCTGCAAGTTAAATGTTTTTTTTTGTTTGTTTTTTTTTATTGCTTGGGCTCGTTTAGAACAGCTCTTAGAAATCAGGTGTCATTGGCAAACAAAGTAATTACATTTTAATCCCAACTAATATGTTTCAAAACTGTGTAATGAAACAATTAATAAGCAGCGCCGCCTCCAACCTCCCACGCCTGCAGGCGATGGAAAGCTGCCAAACCTTCGCAATCCTCGGCACCGTCAATGAAAACACAAATGAAACTGTATATCCGTCGGCGAGGCGGTCGTCGACTCTCTTCACACGAGAGCGTGCACTTGATAAGACTTTGTGGCCGCTTAAGAGGCTTTCTAGTGGTTTTCATCATCTGTCAGGTGTCAAGTGTGGTTCTTTGGCTTTGTTATAATAAAATCCCCACCCCTCCACCCCCTTTAGCTGTCACTGATCCACAGAGGTCCCCTCATCTACCGAAATTCGCCCTAATGTCAAGCCATGAGGGATTAACTTCAGGGCAATAACACGCAATTAGATTTATTTCCCCCCTCTTAAGCCTATTAGGCTACAGCTGAGCAGTCGGTGGTCATGCTTTAGCTGAATTTAATTGTGTTTCTTATGCCCAATGAGCTGTGTACCGCGGGGGGTGGGAGGGACGAACAGATCCTCGTTTTGCAGGAATACGCACCTTTAAAGAGTTCACGAGTGGACGAGGCGATCGTGGCTCTGAGGCAGTGCTGTGCTGCCAACAGGGGAGAGGTGGGGACTCTGCGAACTGCAAAGTGAAACTGACACCACCTCTAATCGTTTCACTTTATATGCCTTTCACCGACTCACTAATCCTGTTACGCGAAGATAAAGATGTGTCTTCCACTCTTAGCCCCTGTGCTGCTCTGACAAAGGCCTTTTCTTGTGCCTTTGTAGATGCATAGCTTCATCCTTTCTTTGCCGGTCGAGGGGCAGAACAGAAGGGAGAAAACATAGATGCAAAATTGCTGCTATTGGTATCAAATGTAAGAAAAGTGCTTTTTTTCAGCAACGACTGGTGACCCGAAAGTGGGAAGGTGCCTCTAACATGAATAATTACTGACTGTTCAGGGCTAGAAACATTTTTTTTTTCTTTCCAAACATGTCAGTAAAATCAACACTCTTTGGTGTGGAAATTGTTACTGAGCAAAGAACAGTAGACATTTCAAAATGTTTTATTTAAAAAGGAAGTCTTATTCCCTGTGACACATCTAGAGACCGGTGTGGCTCTTTCAAGCTGCAGGAGAGTGAGAGAGAGCAAAACCACAGCAGAAAACAGGAAGGCTGAAGGGGGATGCAATTTTATTCTTTGAGCTTTCTGTCAGATACGAGAATTAAAAATGTTGGCAGCCCTCTGGACAACTTTCTCACACATGGTACCAGGTCGACTTTGCTTCTAATATTAGTAACCACTGAAAAGATATAAACAATGTCTTGACTACAAATTATGTATTCTTTTCTAAAGTCCCTGATGAGAAATCCAAAAGAACTATAAACTTCGGTTAAGCTTTACACAAAAACAAGAATAAAAAAATTGACAATAAATATCATAACAAACTATTTGTTCAATTTTGATGCAGATGAGAAACAAATTTACTACTTAAGAAATCATTCACAAAAGGATATAAATGTGTTCAGATGCATATTTAGAGTAAAACGTCAAGAAACCATGGTTCGCTGTTACTGCTTTCACCAGCCTTGTCCGATGCACAGCTTTAAAACGGCGCATTGAGATAGGCATGACTAATGACAGTCTCACGCAGTGCTTTGTTTGCTCAGAGTTAATCGTCTCCCAGGCTTCGGCGCGACCCTTCGCTCAGTTCCTGATTGTGGCATTGTCTCTCTCTGCCTTTGGTACGGTCCTCAATAAACTGAATGCAGCTCAGTCACACAGCAGAGCAGTGCATCGCAGCAGCCTGTGAGCCGCCACACAAACTGATTTACTGGTGCCGAGACGCTAATTCGCTCACTTTGTCTATATGTCTGGGCATGAATATAAATCTAAAGCTGCAAAAGTACAGAAGCTTTAAGTCTGTAGCCGAGGTTAGACGTGGATGCCCTTCCCCTAAAGCCCATTTTATCTAAATCTTTGGGCTTTGCTTTCCGTCTTAGCTGGACTTTGTCAAAAGCAGCTATTCAGGGGTTAAAATCGGATTCGCGAGAGTTAAAAATACATTGAACATGGCACAAATTGCACCGTATTCCAGGTTAGAAATGTCCTTTTCTAAACAATGATTGAAGAAAAAGTTAGCTGTAGTTCACACCAGAAAAGAATTTACGTATTTGGCCTAGTGTGGCGATGCAGACGGAAAACGTGTAACAAAAATAGTTTTTCCCAAAGAATAATTTGAAAAGTACAGCGTTCATTTGCCCTCAAATGAAGTCAGCTGGTTATAGGGTCCATCTGAGTGAAGCTTACTCTCAGCTGATCCGTGGAGGGCTTACATGTTGAAGGCCAAAGAACACAGCGGTCAGGTCAGGGAGAAAGATTTGGAGAAGTAAAAGCAAAGATAGCTTACAAAACAATATCCAAAGCTTTAAATATGTTGCAGAGCGCTGGTCAAGCCAGTACCCTACAAATAGAAAGAGTATGGCACAACGCAAACCAATGAGGCAATAAAGCTTTGGAGGAGGTGCAGAGATTCCCTGCTCAGGAGGGAAGGGTCTCCACAAATATGGCCTTCAGTAAGAAGAAATCCACTATTCAACATAAGCCATAAGAACTCCAGCTTAAAGTTTGTCATTCATGTTATTCTAAAGGTTTTATGTGGCAGATAACACCTCTGTGGGGCGAGCGGCTGACCTTACTGGTTCTGCAGACGGATCCGGAAAAAGGAGGATCGGCGAGCCACCCAGTTTGGAAACTTGTTTACTGAGTTTCCTTGCTTTGTCCAGAACCAAGCAAGTCTCTGTGATCCCTGTGTGCAGCCCATGACACCGAGTCTGGGAAGACCCAACAAATTGCTGCCATTAAAAGTAGATCGCTCCACCCATAATGAGACCAGCGAGCACTCAGAGACCCATCAAGCCTCACGCAATCCAATCAGAACAAAAACAAACATCGTGAGCAGCGAGCCCTCGTTAGGCCATCATCTCCCCCAGACCCTCGCTTTCAGTTTAAAACACTGCCTGATGACTGAACAAACAAACCCTCAACATCTTTACTGTTTGGTGTTTGGGGTTCTCAGGGCCAGATCAGTAATCATATCTCTGTCCTGTTATTCTATGTCTCAGCAGAGGGGAGGAGGTGTGAGACGGTGGCTTCCAGCTACAGGCAAGGAGAGGGGCCGGTGGGCTTTCACTGAAAACATAATTGGCATGGCCCCAGTGACACTGTCCATCAGATTGCGCTGAGCCTCTCTGTGTGCATTCGCGGGGCCCCTGCAAGGTTTCATTAAACAAGGAGCAGAGGCCTCCGAGGAGATGTTTGTGCAGTCTCAGTGGCTCCACCACACAGCGAGGAGCGCAGCTTCGTAAGCGCAGCCTCGCTCAGAAACAATTAGCTTGGGAACTGTATCTAATAAGGAGCCTAAACGTTTTCTCAAGCGCTCGAATGTGTCTCCACTTTAAGGTCTTAATTTAAAAAAAGCTGATTTTGGAAACTATTTGTGATTATTTTAGAGAAAAAAAATTATATTTTAGCCCCATCAACGTTAGCTAGCATAACTAGCAATGATATGACTGAAGAAGAATTATCACCCACACATGAAGATTTTCGAGCATGAACAGAACCTTTATGTTCTTGACACTGCAACCCAACTGGAGTGAAGTCCAGACTTTGACTAGGCCACTGGTAAGCCATACTTTTTGAGCCATTCAAAGCTGGACTTCCTATTGTGCTTTAGAGACCATCGTAACCCAAACACACGCAGGAATTGATACATTTTTTCTGCTAGTGAGGAGAATTTATAGTTTCATTAGTTATGAAAAAAATTTACCATGTCTTTAAGCGGCACAGAAGCCAAACACCATAATATTACCATCTCTATGTTTGACTATAGACATCATGTACTTTGTTCTGAAATGCTATTTTAGTTTTACCCCATATAAGACAGGTTGCACATCTAAAATGTTTCACATTTATCTTGACAATACACAGGATATCATCCCTTAAGTCTTGGGGATCTTTAAGATGTTGTTTGTGAAATGTGTTATCTGTTATTCAGCAGTGTTTTTAGACTTGGTACAACTCCATAGATGCCATTTGCCCCAGTTTCATTCATGTTATTGCATCATGAACACTAAACTTTAAGTGAAGTGACCTTTGGAGTACTTTCTATGCTGTGACCTCCTGGATGAGTCGTCCTTGAAATCCTAAAGTAACTTTGGTTCACTGGCCACTTCTGGGAAGGATCAGCGCTTCAATGTTTTCTCTATGAAATGATTCTCACTGTGGTGTTAAGTCCCAAGCCCCTAAAGAAAAGACTTTGCAACCTTTTGATAGACAGATGTAAACTACTTTGCTTCACTTTTGTTTTTTAATTCTTTACATACTTTAGCTCGTCAGTCAAGTTCTGTTCAAGTTATTACTTGATTGTGCAGGGAGTTGTGTTCACCACTTGAAAACGGGACAATTTATTTAATCAGGATATCTATGTCTAATATTCTTAATTTGATATTTAAGTCTGACATGAAGCTGAAACAGAAATCCTCAATATATTCTTGCTTTGAAAAGCTTAATTCTTAACTTAAAAAGTCCATAAACTTCACAGTCTTTCTTTTACTCTCCTTCTCAATTGTGATTTAATGTAACCTTTTGTAAAGTTATATTCAGTCAACATAATGTTTTTGGTCAGTGAAGAAGACGCTGATCAAACATGTTTTTTACACTTGAGATTGCTGGTGAAAAAAAAAATTAAATACATTTAAATGTTAAAACTTTAAGTGTTTATTGCCTAGAGCAGGGGTGGGCAATCCTGGTCCTCGAGGGCCGGTGTTCTGCAACTCTTAGATGTCTCCCTTTTCCAACATACTTGAATCCAACAGCTGAATCACCTCCTCAGTGCAGTCTAGTTCTCCAGAGTCCTGCTAACGACCTCATTATTTGACCCAGGTGTGTTGAAGTAGAGATGCATCTAAAAGTTGCAGGAGGCCGGCCCTCCAGGCCTGGAGTTGCCCCCCGCCCTGGCCTATAGAGAAACCTTTACCCTAACATGTCTGGAAGGCAAAATGTGCTACTAACAATATTTTTGCTTTGATAAACTACTTTCTCATGATAAGAAGGAACATTTATCAAGTCAACTGAACACCACGATGAGCTGCTGAATAAAGTTTTTAGATAGATAGCGGTTATCCAATGATGCTGCCTGAGCTGGTTTGTCACCAGTCAACTTTCAAAGCCAATCCTTCTGTAAAACATCTGTACCTTTTGTAACCAAATATGCATGTCTCCAAACAAGTTTGTAATAGTTCACAGCAATAGCCAACAATCATCCATTGGCGTCCAAACCAAATGCACAACGGTTCCGCTATGACACAAAAAACATGAACCGAGATCCTGCTCTGCATAAAAGAGCCAAACCCGAAGTCATGGGCCTCAGCAAAGATAATCATCAGAGATATTGAATAGGAGGATAGAAGAATAATATGAACCGTAAAACCCAGAGGAATCCGTGTGGCCTTATAAGGTCTTCGGTGATGGAGAGAGGGCAGAGAGGGTAAGTGAGCCAACAAAACACTGGACAGTACCAGCCCGTCCGTGCATGGGAAAAACCTCGCTCTCTGAATGTGGAACCAATGAGTTTAATAAATAAAATCACATCCAAAAGAGATTCCATCGTAAGTACCTCACTTGGGTCTCAAAGCCTGGGTTGAATAAGTCAAGGTACAGCCAACTTTTCATCCTAAGAAGAAAGAAAAAAAAAAGAGGTTAATATTTTCTCTTAAGTTACCCTTAATTCCAGCGTTCAAGTGGCTCTTAGCATTTTCCACTAAGTCATCCAATCCTGTCCCCCAATTAACAGCCACATTCATCTCTAAATAGCACACTTGTAGCTCTCAGTATGCTCATCTGTCCATCAGGTGAAATTTAATAATCATATTTGTGTAACTCGCCCTCATAATTCCCACGCAGACACACTCAACAGAAGCTAAATATACACCACTTCAGCTGGCTCCACAAGTCTACTTGTGTCTGCTAGCAATTAGTAAAGCAGGTTTGTGCGACTCCATTGTTTGGACTGCCGGCCTCTCGCGGAGATAATGAGCCTTAATCGTTGAGTGACACCATAATTGCCAAGGTGTATGGTGACACGACAACAGACGCAATTACCCTACTTTTGACATCAATGCTCTCATTAAATGATGTCATTGAAATGTGATGCTTTGGATACACACCCAGCCACGCTGCCTATACTATGTGCGCGTACACACACCTATTACGCTGACTGTGTACGAGGTTTATAGGTAGAAAAGTACTTGCCTGCCTGGGAATCCAAACTTGATGCTTCCCTGTTTTTTTTTTTGTTTTTTTTTTTTTTTTTTTTTGCTTGTTTTTTTTTTTTTGTTTGAGTCAGCGTTTTAGATGTATATCAGTTTTTTTGCTAAAGTCACTATTGGCACATTTATGGCTTAAAAGTGTATAAAAATTAAAGGAAATACAGATTTTATTTTGATTTTATTTTTTTTTTGTGCACCACACTGAAAGATTTAACATTTTATTGTAGTCACATAATCTCTCACTGAAAATTTTAGAAAGAGCAAATGTTTATTTTGAACCGATCAGAAAGAAACTATACATAAAGACCACACACATTTCTGCTAAAATAAATGTACAAATACATTACTTCACTTTAATCTAATGGACACGATGCACTTTTCAAAAATGATCAAAACATCCGATTGACCTAATGCAGACGTGGGGTCTGTCATTGTTGGTGGGGGACCAGAATGCAGGCAGGATGCTGGCAGAATAAAATGAAAAGTTTATCTGGTAAATGAACTGAATTCATACTGACCAATCAAAACACTTTACCCAGAGCCACACACACACTCACAAACACACACACATTCATACACCGAAATGCAGACTGGAAGGCAAGATTGGGAGAAGAGCTTTGCCAAGGGGCACACAGACAGCAGGAAGCTGGAATCATGCCCACAACTTGGGAATTTCAAGCCACTGAGCCACTTTCAAAGTATTTATAGATGTAAATCGAAAAATTTAGAATATCGAGGACACAGTCCAACAAGCCAAGGCAGAAACAGGGGCTTGCGAGAGACCGGCAGCGATGGGAAACAAAACAGGAAACAACAGGAGAATCTTACAGGGCGGGGGATGAAAACAGGGACTTTATATACTAGAAGAAGTGATTACTGAAGTTGGAACAAGAGAAGCCGATTAACTGAATGAGAAGCAGCTGCAGGACAGCATTAAACTAATAGAGCTAAATGCGGAAATAAAAAAAAATATGAGCAAACACAACAATAGCGAAAGTAAACAAGCACTAAAGTAACAACAAATGCCAGATTAAAAGTGACAAAGCAGCTTAGAAATGCATGCTACAGAGAAAACAGAAGGAAATAAAACCAGTGTGCATAAAAAAATTACTAATATAAAAGAGAATCTCCACTCTCTCAAAAGCACTGAAAAAACTTAAAGTGCAAAACAAAGCTATAAGATAAACATAAAATCCTTCAATTTCAACTTGTGACATGCTGGTCTTAGTTGTTTTAGACTTAAAAATATCTGCAGTCAGAGCAATAATTCAAACATTTAAAACAACTGAGATGAATGCATTTGGAAAGCACTAAACAGTTTTTTTTAAATATTCTGGAGCAATAAAATGTAAAAAAGTTAAAATGTGAAATTTCTGAAGCTGGGGTGAAGTTTAGATAGTGGGAAAGATTTGTTGTTTTGGCTCCTTTGGTTGGAGAGCTGCGGAAACCAAAGAAGCATCTTGGGGTTATCAAGTCTCCATAACAAAAGCATCTACATGCCAGCTGGACTGTAAATAGTTTTGCTTTTTCCTATTATGAAAAAGACATAAATGTGTGAAGTTTCCTAAACTCCACTGGAACGCTTTCCCCCTAGAAACACACGATTTGGCTGAGACTGAGATTGTGTTCTCCTGAGGAACAAGTTCTCCAATCGGAGTTAAAAAAAAAAAGCTCATGCCCACTATATGGAGGAATACGGAGGTGGATCTGTGATGCTGCAGGCTTGTTTCTCTTTTGAAGGCCCTGGGAAGTTTGAACTCTTTGAAATATTTTAGAAAAATAAATCTGGTGGACTCTGCCAGAACCCTTAAAGCGGGTTGTCTTGGGGTCTCTCAGCAGGATTAAGATCCAAAACACATGTCCAAAACAGCAGAGAAAGGATTCACCTGACAGAACACCGACCTTTTTCAGGACCATCTCATCCCCTTCAGACCTGAATCCCACAGGTTTGCATTTGCAAAAAGAAAAAAAAAAAGAACATATTTGAAAAGCTTTCGTGGCATCTTTACTAGTGGTTCCTACAAACTTTATAAAACAGACTTGGCACAGATTGATATTTTTGGCACCTAAAACAAAGGCGCGCCCTTGTTTCTATCATTCGCCTCTGCAGACCTTAACGCAAGCAGTGTGACTGCAATATTCATTTCTGTTTTCACTTAAATAGGGCTTAGAAGGCCATTTACAAGGTGCTTTTGCAAAGCGTGCAAAAGTGTTTTTTTTTAATGATGTGCTAGGAGCTGCAGTTATGTTGGCTACCACTTAAATATATGCAGTAAAAATGTGTCAAGCAAATCGCTCATTTTGCGTTTATTGTCACACCTAACACCTCTGCTCCACCGAACGAGAGGCAAAAACAGTAAACTCAAACGCATTCAGTAATTGTCACCACTACAACTAATATTGTTTCACATCTTGGTCCCCACAAGGAGCAGTGGGTCCCCACAACGTCGTATGTGTCAGGAAAATGGTCCCCACAAGGTATTACAAACAAACGCACTACACACACACACACACACACGCACACAGGACACAGAAGCAGACAAACAGAAAACACAGGCAGAAGTCCGAGCCTATAAATCAACAAAAACGAAATTGTAAGGTTGACTTTAGCAATTGCATATGTGAAGGAGAATTTACCTCCATGTAACGTTTTAATGAGCTTCAGCTAAGTAGAAACGCTTTCAAGAAAATAGTGATAATAATTAAAAGAAAGTTCATCAGTCAAAATCCGCTCTTGGTGAAACTCTATAGCGTGTGAAATATTTGTCCCCGGCTCCTGTGAAAGCTTTGCAGAGATCCGTGGGTGCCATAAAACCTGAAGGCAATTAAAAGTGCTCATCTTTCACCACGTTTCTAAATTCTGTAGCAATTAATCTGCCCAATTTGATTATGAACTGCACAAATTAAACAATAAAGACCTGTCTAATGAGGGATTAATTATGGGTAGCGGGAGGGGAGAGGGGCTGGAGCCGCAGCCATGTGTCAGTGTCTCCTGCAGACAGCGCAGAGCCATAAGGAAGACAAAGAGGCTCGGCGTCCATGTGGTCCGGCACTGATAGGGCCCCCCTCATCACAGATCAGTAGATCCGCAGCCAAGAGAGCCCATAAAAGGCCCGGCCGTAATTGAAAGTGCCAAAATCAATAGCGCTGACAGGCCTTAATTAAATTAAATATGTCTCCCATAGGAGAGGACTGGGGCCCAGGGGAAGAAGAAAGGAGAGCAAGAGCTGCTGCCTGAGTGAGCTCACTGTGAGAGGACTGCTGAGACATCCAGACTGAGTGTCCATTACGGAGCAGTGACTTTACATAACTGATAGGAGATCAGACCAAGGAAAGGTGTGTTTTAAAATGCCAAATCATCAACGTAATCGTGTTGTTTTGTTTACCAAACTTGACGGTGAATTTTAGATGTAAACTGGGATATATATTTCCAAGCGTTGTTACGTTGAGAGCATCTTTCTCAACGTTGTTTAGAGTGTAGTGTTGGTTTTTATTTTTTGTATATTGATGAACTCCTAATCTGTAAGAGTCACTGTAAAAATGCTACACGTGTGTTACATTAGTTCCACTGCTTTCTTGCTAATCAATGACTTTATGAGTCAACAGGTTTACTTTTACAACTCTTATTGCTGTCCCCAAAAATAAAATACTGACCCGTGGAAGCTCTCCGTATTTAGACACGTTACAGTTGCAAAATTTCAAACATCTTATTGCAGTTTAATGCAATTTAAAAGTGCACACTGTAAAACAATAAACTCTAGTTTTAGTGCAAAGTAATGCGCTTTACTTAGCTCCGTTAATATTCCCATTAGCTCTGACCAGATTCCCTCTCCTCGTTGAAGAAAAACACCGCCACAGCATATTACTGCCACCACCATGTTCTCCTCCCAGTTCTGGGTAATGCATTGTGCAATACTGTCCGACATCATTTTACTCCTTCAAAGCACTGCAATGTGGATTTAAGAATATGTTTTTACTACATCCGTGTTTTCAGACGTGAAGTGTGCTGTAATTTCTAAAGGTTGCGCTTTCAGGATTACCATGCTGCTGGTCACACAAGGGCATCACCTGGATGAAGAAACAGAAACTCCTCATCATTTCAGGCTTTGCCCACATTTAAAAGATTAAGCATCAGGAGTCAGTGAAAGGTCACTGGCAGTGTGTTGCTGTGCGAAGAGGTGAGCAAAAGACAGGAGGTTGGTACGGAAGGGTGGTGACTGGGGGAAGGGAGGCAGGGTGGGGCGATACAGGAACCTCAACCCCTCTGGATAAACTTGGGTTGCAGACGGTTGAGACTTTTGAGATTAGAATGGAGCCAGGTCTGCAGCAGACTGGTTGGAGGACGTGGGCACGGCACGGCTCAGCCCCGAAACGTCTCAGACAAACCTTCCCTCCCAACCCCTCCTCGAGTTCACCCCGTCCTCTTCTGCTCTCATTTGGTTTACTTTGACCAAATCCACAGAGCATGATGGCCAGGAAGACTTAAAGCTTTTGTAAATAATAGTCTATGTGTATTGGGTCAACACAAGGGCAAGGCAAGATAGCAGGATATTTTTAAAATAGCTTACCAAGTTACTCATATATATATATATATGCTTGTATATTGTATTTAAATATCTTTGACCAAAGAAAATACACATACCCCCAAAATCTATTAATATATGGGTTTTTATTGTAATAATAGAACAAAATTAATTTAATGAGTAAGCTTTGTAAATATTAAAAACAAT